AAAAAAAAAAAAAAAAAAAAGATGTGTTCACTTTGTAATAATTCATTAAATTGCACCTTCATGAACTATTTTATATAAAAAAAATTTAAATGAATGCTTTCATAAAAATCTAGATTCCATTGGAGATTCACAATATTTTCAGTCCTGGAGCTCAATACATATACCATGGATCAGCTAGAGCTCAGCAGTTGTTGTTTTCAGATGTGGCATGTGCAGCAAAATGTCCACTGCTCTTTTATTACTGCATATAGACCTTAGCTAAATGTTTGCTGACGTTCACCACTGCGATTCTGCAATTGTTTTTTTTTACACCTGACCCACTCAGGTATTCATATCACCTGCTCATACTTGAATATGCATGAGATTTCTCTTGGACTCTAAAATATTTGTAGAGTTTGCCTTAGACAAAAAGAAGTTCACTTCCTCTATTGAGGCCTGAAAAAAATCATGAAGGAAGAATATGAATGTGTTTCTGTTTATACCTGGCAGACAGGAAGTTAATGGCATTTCCCCCAGGGCCTCTGTTTTGTCTTGAAAGTCCAGGCAAGAGTACCTGCTTCGACAGCTGTAGGACAATGGGTGGGAGGATTTAAGAATTTGTTGAACATTTGCTATGGTCATGCAAGAGACAAACAACAGGACACACGTAGAATGACTTCTGGGCAGAACAGAGAGCCCATTTGAAGTTGAGAAAAGCCAGGGATGTCTAAGGGGCACCATTCAAAATATTTATGTATCTGTCTCCAGCAACAGTCAAGTGCCTATTAGAGATGAGGGAAAAGGCCCGCTGGAAGGCTCCAGGCCTGCAGTTTTTGTCTCAGTAGAGGTGAGGTAAAGGCAAGGTGCCCCCAAATTTAAAGTTATTATGAAGACAATTTGGGGCCGGGCATGGTGGCTCACGCCTGTAATCCCAGCACTTTGGGAGGCCGAGGTGGGCAGATCACCTGAGGTTGGGAGTTTGAGACCAGTCTGACCAACATGGAGAAGCCCCATCTCTACTAAAAATACAAAAAATTAGTTGGGCGTGGTGGCAGGTGCCTGTAATCCCAGCTACTGGGGAGGCTGAGGCAGAAGAACTGCTAGAACCCGGGAGGTGGAGGTTGCAGTGAGCCAAGATTACGCCACTGCACTCCAGCCTGGGCAACAAGAGTGAAATTCCATCTCAAAAAAAAAAAAAAAAGAGAGAGAATTTGAAGTTATGAATCAACAGGATAAATTAATTATATGCACTTGTATATATAAAATAGTTAACTATCTTTGCAGTTTTGCCTAGATTTAAACAATATTGAAAGATCAGAGAGTCAAAAGTATTTCTTTCAGAATGATCTCCTGGGCTGGTTCATCTTTGGATACTACAGAGCCTGATATCAATTGCCATGCTGGGAGAATGGTGTCCCTGGGACCTTTTTGGATTCAGTGTCCTGTGTCCTCTACCGTCTCTCCTGATATGCTGAACTTAAGGGATCTCCATTCTCAAATAAAAGCCCCTACAACCAGTACATGAGCCTTAGGCACTGATTTGTCACTTGAAGGTAATAATCATTTGAACTCTAGGGCTAAAACTTCCTTTTGGCATTAAAATATGATGATTAGTGTGAAAAAATGTGGAAAACTTCCTCTCTTGTAATATATTTACTTCTTTTTATGCTTTGATTTTATTTCTACACCATGCCCATGCTTCTTAACTTTCAATGACGAACTGAAATTCTGGTTTAAAGCGGTGTTCGCCAGGTGCAGTGGCTCACGCCTGTAATCCCAGCACTTTGGGAGGCCGAGGCTGGTGGATCACGAGGTCAAGAGATCGAGATCATCCTGGGCAACATAGTGAAACCGCATCTCTACTAAAATATAAAAAAAATCAGCTGGGTATGGTGGCATGCCTCTGTAGTCCCAGCTACTCGAGAGGCTGAGGCAGGAGAATTGCTTGAACCCAGGAGGCAGAGGTTGCAGTGAGCTGAGATCGTGCCATTGCACTCCAGCCTGGCGCCTGGTGACAGAGCAAAACTCTGTCTCAAATAAATAAATAAATAAATAAAGTGGAGTTCATCTGGGTGAGGAGAGATGATATAGTGCATATGTGATGTTAAATTTTGCATCATAATAAAATAAAATTCTTCTACAAGCCTAAAACTAACATATTCTTATAAATAAGAGGCTGGTTCATGACTGAATTGATCTCTCAGCACATTTCTTTGGAGGTATGGTGTGTGAGTGTGTGTCACAAACACAGGAAGAGTGTCCTTTGATTGAGATGGGTGAATTGGCAATGGATAGGCTGCATTAAAGTGGTTAGACCAAGAGTGACATGTGTCTGGCTTTCTTTCATTCCTTTGATAGAAGTAAAATGAGTACTATTTAGTGTAGCTAAATGGGTGGGCATTAACATAAATGAGAGACTTGAAAGAGGTATGCACGTATGTGTGTCTTTATGGGTATGCACATGTGTAACTGTGAGTGAATTTATTAGAACCATATATATTTAGTATATGTTACATTGAATATATTATAGACAGCATATATTTATGTATATATGTTACTTTGTATATGTTGCATTGGATTTAGTATATGTTACATTGAATATACTATAGACAGCATATATTTATGTATATATGTTAGTTTGTATATGTTGCATTGGATTTAGTATATGTTACATTGAACATACTATAGACAGCATATATTTATGTATATATGTTAGTTTGTATATGTTACATTGGATTTAGTATATGTTACATTGAACATACTATAGACAGCATATATTTATGTATATACGTTAGTTTGTATATGTTGCATTGGATTTAGTATATGTTACGTTGAATATACTATAGACAGCATATATTTACATATATATGTTAGTTTGTCCTTTCGTGTTCTCCTTTTACCGTTGTGCTCTCCTCCCCCTATTTCGAGGCCTCACTCAGTATCTTCATCCTATTATGGGGTATCCAGATCCCTCCTTTGACTTTTCCTGTGACTTCATTTCATTTCCACTGAGTTCTGCTAAGTACCATTTTTACGTGACAAGTGAAATAAATATAAAGCATTAATTAATCAGTGAAAAATATCTAATATATTTTACTTTTACAACGGATTTTCAGAACAGGTAATAATGTCGTTTCAGGATATGCAATTATTATAGGGGAAGAATTTTTAGGCTGGAGTAATTTTTGCTGATGCCATGTGGAAAGTGCCTATTTGTCCTAAATATGAGGTAAAGTTATGAGCTTTGGGTATATACTTTGTATCAGTGAATATATGTATATATTTTTTAATTCACTTATTTATTTAGCTTGAGATGGAGTCTCACTCTATCTCTGAGGCTGGAGTGCAGTGGCGTGATCTCAACTCACTGCAACCTCTGCCGTCCCGATTCAAGCAGTTCTCCTGCCTCGGCCTCCTGAGTAGCTGGGATTACAGGCGCCTGCCACTGTGCCTGGCTAATTTTTGTATTTTTTTTTTTCAGTACAGATGGGGTTTCACCATCTTGGCCAGGCTGGTCTTGAACTTCTGACCTCATGATCCATCTGCCCTGGCCTCCCAAAGTGCTGGGATTACAAGCATGAGCCACCGAGCCCGGCCAGTATCATTGAATATATTTTAAAATTCTGCATTTATAACTGTTTGGACTTCTAAAAAGCCGATTAAAAATTTTAGTCTTTTAGTCTTCTAGAAGATAAATGTTCTATGTTGGTTTGATGCCCATGGAGGGAGCTTCTTTGTCTCACTAAAGAGCCCTCCTTTCCCTGATCTCTACTCCTTCCATTCAGATCCAACCACCTCTTCATTCAACACACAAGACCAAAGAGGTGACTCCCTTCCCTAACGCCACACTCCAAAGAAGAGAAGGTGGGCTGCTCTGAATAAACAGCATGAGTTTACATCATCAATACACTGGCTGACTAAATGAATTAACTAATCCCTAAAGAAAATATGTCATTGAAATTATGTGTCTGTATAATAAAACGTTGTTATAAATGTTAATATTATTACTTTCAATAGTTAAATGTTTGCCATTCTATAGGAAAAATAACCTCTATAATCTCTAGAAGCTAGCTACCATTCATATGAGAAAAACCTTAAAAAAATGCCCAATTCAAATTTTACAATTGAAGAACGGAAATGCTATTTATATGAATTATTTGTATATATTAACCATTATATTACTGAGTTTTTTTCGCTGAATTTGAACCATTTGTCCTAAGTTTTAATTAATCAAATGTACTTTATTCCTTTGACATTTTCTTTCTTTCTCCCTTTATTTTTTCTGTGATACATTTTATCTCAGCTTCTAATAGCTACCTGTCAGGAAATCACTGCTTCCACAATAACCTTCACGTGTCTCTGTATTACGTATCTTCTTTAATGTCTTCTTTCTGTACCAAAACTTATTCCCTGGGTTACTATAACATCTCTGAGTCAGTGTTTTGATTAGTTATTTATTAAAGGTTAATATTGTGCCCAGTGGCCAACACATTATCCTCCCTGAATTGTAACGTCTTGCTCCTGTTCTGAACAGGGTGACGGACACGACCAACAGCGATGTCGAGGGAGACTGCATCCTGG